AGGTAGGTCAGTGCACCCTTGTCGTGCAGTGCCCACGGAGGTCAGAAGGGACCGTTGGATCCCCTGGGACTGGAGTTATGGACAGCCGTTAGCTGCCATGTGCATGCTGGTATTCAAACCAGGGTCTTCTGCAAGAACAGTCCGTGTTCTTAACTGCTCAGTATGATTCCTTTTTTAAGAATTGTTGTTTTTATCCAAGTCATGAATATACATAATTGAAATTCAAATCACAGGGCTTCGTTTTCTAAGCATTTTAGTTGTCTCTTCTGCCAGTTCTTTCCATAGTCCATGCTCCATTCCTTTATCACTGTTAAGGCAACAATCTTTGACTTGAGAGAGACATACTAGCTGGGTATACATTTGTGTCATTAGATAATACTTCTGAGTGCATGACTTGCCAACTGTAGACATCACCCAGAGGAACATCTTAGCATCCTTGCCTCCCTTCCATGTCTGTCCCAACTCTCACTTCTCAGATCTGTTTCCTCAGCTCAATTTTTTTTCTTTTAAAAATATTTTGCATGTTTATTATTTTTATTTTCTTTATCTGTATGAGTGCATTGCCTGCATGTAAGTGCACCATGGTGTGCAATGGTCACAGAGGTCAGAAGAGGGCATCACTTTCTTTTTTTCTTTATATTTATTTGTTTTCATTTTATGTGTATGAGTGTTTTGTCTGTGTGTATATAAGTGCATCTGTGTGTGGAATGCCCACGGAGGTCAGAAGAGGGTGTCAGATCCTCTGGGACTCAGATTTTTATATGGTTGATAACCTGCCGTGTTGGTCCTGGGAACCAAACCTGGGGCTCCTGCAAGAGCAGCCAGTGCTCTTAATCACTGAGCCATCTCCTCAGCCCCATGGTCTCTTTCATATCTCAGGTCATCCCATCGAGTCTGGAGATTTACAATACACCTTCAGTTCTGTGCAGTCATTTTGTCCATTTCCTTAATAATCACCTTGTCCACCCTCCCTCTTCTCTTTCTAGAACTTATGCTGTGACTGAGAATATAGCCCAGTACTAAGACTCTCTGACCAGCAGCTCATGCTAATAAAGCATTGGCCCATTAGTTACCTTAAGCTGCATAATTCTCCAGATCGCCAGTCTTGCTACCTTTTATTTCAGTCCTCATTTATACAGGGTTTCCCAGCTAAGCTATTTGGAATCTCAAGGCTTTGTGGGGTGGCCTTTGCTCACACTGTATTCTAGACTCCTGTGCCTCTTCTCATCACCTTCCTAACCTCAGAATAGCATCTCCTTCAGTAAATCTTGTGGAGGAAAATTCTTTCTGCCCCTCATCACATGAATGGTTTGTGAGGTTAGAACAACTGTGCAATTCAGAGGCTATAGAGATTACTGGAAAGCCAGAAAAGCAACTCACTGGGAAGGTGAGCTGTAGCCTGGCTGTCTTTCCTTCCTTATTTGGCCCATACACCAACAAAGGCTGTGGCGTGATCCTGGCCACTTGGATGGAAGGAAGTTTCCTGGGCCCAGATGAAAACAGGGTGTGGTCAACACACCCTGCCGTCTCTCACCCTGCCATGCTGCTTCTTCATCCGCGAGGGGTCGGGAGGTCTTGCTGTCCTGCAAGACTGGTCCACTGGGGTAGTTGAGCTATCCCCAGGTGCCCGTCCTTCCCTGGATGTGCCCAGACACCACCAGGGGCCACGGTGTGATCTTGGCTCCCTGGACCACAGCAACCTGCCTGGGACAGGCTGGGTGCTCATTGGGTGCGGTCCACTGTAAACTGCCTCTTCTCACCTTGCCAGGCTCCTTCATCAGTCAGAGGTCCAGAGAACTGGGTGTTCTGCACAATCTCGCGTGGGACTCCCACCCCAGAGAGTGGTGCTGTTGGGAGCTGGGGATTTGAAGGTAGGTGGAAAAGTGGCCCCAAGGTGGTGGGGTCCCATCTGGTGTCCGGCCAGGGACTGTGGTACCGGGAGGTGGCGTAGGTGTTTTGGTCTCTGTGGAGAGGCCTCATTCTCTCCCTGGGTGGGCCTGGGCCCCTCCTGCTTCCCTGGCCTTCTTCTTTCTTTCATTTTCTTGTGTGCTTTATTTCTTTTTTTTTTTCATTTTTTCTTTTTGCGGTTCTTTTGGTTTTTTGGCCCTCACCACAACGGGGTCAGGGATGAGCTCAAGCTGATTGCTGCTCCTTGTAGGGTCCGGGCACCTTGCTTTGTCGTTCTTCCTGGGCCCTAGTTGGCTGATGCTGAGCCCAGGCTCAGTTCCATTGAAGGAACTTGCTTGTGCTCAGGGACAGGCCTGGGTTGTTTTGCACTGCTCTGTGGGGCCCAGGCTCCGTCTGCTTACCCTTTGTCCGGGCCCTGTTCCATAGACGCTTGGCCGGGCACCATTGCCTTGGCCAGGGGTTTGTGGGGAAAATGGCTGCCCAGGGCTCCTGTGTCTTCCTGGGGGTGGGCCCAGGATCCTCTCGGAGGATTTTTCCCAGGCCCTTTGGGCTTTTACAGCAGGCCTGCTTTGTCCCTTTTAGTTTTTTTCTGGTGGCTGGTATCATCAGAGAAGGGTAGAGGCCCGGGCTGTTTGCTCCCTGTTGTCAGGCCCAGGCTCCCCCCTTTTGACCCTTCAGCCCAGGCCCTCTCGTTCCAGTTATGGGGTGCCTGGGCTCGGTCCCCTGGATGGGACTGGCTTGAGGTCGGTGATGGGGCTGGGCTTCTCCCTTAGGACTTTTCAGCCCAGGCCCTTGGTCTGCTGTGTGGAGCCTGGGCTCTGTCTGTTGATGGGACTGGCTTGTGGTCAGGGATGGACAGAGGCCATTTTCTCTGCCCTGCTGGGCCCAGGCTGCTATGTTGTAACTTTTGGCCTGGGCCTTCTACCATCGATGCTTGGCCTGGGCTCCTTGGGGGAAATATTTGCCTGGGGCTCCCAGGTGTCTTCCTTGGTGGGCCCAGGCTCCTGTCTTGGGGGACTTTTGCCCAGGCCCTTTGTGTTGTTCAGCCCAGGCATCTTTGTCTTTGTGTTCATTCTGTCCCTGTCCTGCCCTGGCTGCCGTTGCATCATAGAACAGTCCGGGCAGCATCCCTCAGTGTCCACTGTCTCCGTGCATAGGACGTGTGAAGGAGAAGTCTCGCAGTGGTGTGCTGGGTGCACGTCGTCTTCGTGGTCATCAGGAGTGGTGGGTGCCAGTCTTGCAAGCCTGCATCGGTTTCGCCCAGGTGAGTTTCAGGTACCACCGTGACACTTGCAGAACGGCCAGGGTCATGTGGCTGGGGCTGGGGGACATTGTCTGGTTGTGGAGAGGGCCCTGAGTCACCTGTGGTGGGGGCTGAGGGTGGTTGCAGAGAGTCCGCGTGACCAGGGAAGTCAAGACGGTGCCTGGGCAGGGATTGAGTCCCTGTGCGGCAGCCAAGCTGTCTGTCCTTCCTTGTTGGGTGTGGACACCAAGAAGGGCTGAGGTGTGATCCTGGCCTCTTGGATGGAAGGAATTCACCTGAGCTCCAGTGAAAACAGGGTGCGATTCACATACCCTGCCATTTCACAACCTGCCAGGCTGCTCCTTCATCCGCAAGGGGTCCAGAGGCCTTGAAGTCTTGCACCATTGGTCCAACAGGTTTTGGCGAGTTCTGCCCAGGTGCCTGTCCTTCCCTGGATGAGGCAGGGGACCACCAGGGGCCTCAGTGTGGTCCTGGCTGCCTGGGTCTAAGAAAGAGGCCTTGGATTTAGCTGTGGGAAGGTTGGGGGTGGTGTGTGGGGTGTTCGGTGTTGGGTGGGGTGTGAGGGGTGTCTGTTGGGGGAAAGGGTGGGTGGCAGCCGCAGGGAGAGGGAATGTTCGTGAGCATACATTTAGGGAGGTGCTGGTGCTTGGAACAGGGTGTTTCCCACTCACCAGTGGTTTGTTGGGTCCATCTCATCATCATCATCATCATCTCGAGGTCAGGAGTTTTGGGTACCAGCCTTGCAAGCCTCCGTTGGTTTCACCCACATGTTTTTGGGGGTACCATCACGACACTCCAGTGGTGGCGTGGTCTTGCAGAACGTCCGAAGTCAGGTGGCACCTCGTCCTGTTGGGGAGAGGGCCCTAACTCACCCATGGTGGAGGCTGAATGTGGCTCCAGGGAGTCTGTGGCCAGGGAAGTCAAGTTGGGACCTGGGCAGAGATCGAATCCAGGTGTGGCCCACACACCCGGGATGGTGAGCTGTAGCCCGGCTGTCTGTCCTTCCATGTTGGGCCCGGACACCAACAAGGGCCACAGTGCGATCCCAGCTGCTTGGAAGGAAGGAAGGCCCCTGGGCCCAGGTGAAAATGATGCAGCTCATACACCCTGCCGTTTCTCACCCTGCCAGGTGAGAGGTGCTGTTTCTCACCCTTCATCTGTGAGGTGTCGGGAGGCCTTTCCATCCTTCAGCATCAGTCCACCAGGGTTGTCGAGCTCTCCCCAGGTGTTTGTCCCTCCCTGGATGGGCCCGGACACCACCAGGGCCTGTGGTGTGATCATGGCCCCCTGGACCACATCAACTGGCTTGGGACAGGGTGGCTGCATGTTGGGCTCGGTCCATACTAAACTGCCTCTTCTCACCTTGCCAGGCTTCTCTTTCATGCATTGGTGCTCCAGAGAACTGGGTGTCCTGCATGATCTCACGTGGGGCTCCCACCCCGTGGAGTGGTGCTGTTGGGAGCTGGGGGTTTGAAGG